AGAGCCGAGAAAACGTGCTTTTTATTCTGTAAAAAAAGAAAATATAGTTTTATATGAACTCCGTAAATCATATCAATTTAACATTCAATATTAGTATATTCTTACCATGCCAAATGCAGTAGGTGGAACGCCTATGTAGATGAATTTCCATTTCCTCCAGACTGTAGTGCATGTTCCGAGCATCTATTACCATTACATGCACGATACAAAGTCATAATACAATCGGTCCGGTTGTTACTGTGAGCGTACGAAGTACCTTCGTACGCACGACTGAAGTCATAAGTCGTGTCTTTGGTAAGAATAAATAGAGCAATTCTGGATCCTTATAGAGTCCCATAGTCTCATAGAATATGAGTCTCATAGAATACAGTAGGAGATATTTATGACTAAAATTCTGACTTTGTCTCAATTGTTCGCTTTAGTCGTAGTCACATAGTTCGAATTAGATTTCTCTCAGTAGATTTTATGTGAAAAAGATATTGCGAAAATTTTACATCAGTACTTGATAACAATGGTCCTTGTTCTGTTGAAACAGGCGGAAGTTACTCCGTGGATATCTAGCAAGCACAATATGGGCATGGCATTCAATCGTGTCACATGGAACAAGCTACGGAAATGCGCGGCACAGTTTTGTTCCTACGACGATTACAACTGGGATTGGAGTCTGCAGTATATCGCGCAAACATGCGTACCGTCTAGTCGGGGCGCCGGAATAGCGCCTCGCGCTGAATCCGGATTGATCACAATGACAATGAGAGCTCCGAGAGTCTTCCATATCGGAGAATGGCGAGTATCAATTCTTCGCTTATTTCCCATAAATGAGAATTGAGCTTTTACTTTGCGACATCCTTCGCATATCTCCTTTTTATTATTCGTGAGCGTTAATGCGATGTTAAGGGATGTTTTTCATTTGATGGCACAATTCGATACATGTCGTTCGATTTTTGTCATTCATTAAATGTCAAGAAAGATAGAATCAAGAATGATATTTGTGTTAATTTGTGTTCACTAAGTGGAAAGTACCCAGAATTATCACCCTTTTAATTGGATGTTTGCTTTTACAGTGGAGTGCATCATAAGAAGAATAACTGTGAATCGACGGCAGTGATAGCGAAGGTCCAAAACGTCTTGAATGCGGCGCGCAATCATCTGTTCCCTTCGCAATTAACGTTAACAATTGCCGGAACGGCGAAGAAGACGAAACTCCGTAAGGGCAATGGTGGATGGGGAGATGTTCGAGATCATCAGCTTTGCTGGAACATGACCATATCTCCAGATCTGGATTTGCCTTGAGAACTACAAACTTTGATGTTGATAATGATTGGTTCGAATACATAAATCGTGATATGAACTGCCAGTACTGAATAATCAGGTCTATAGCGGCAATTCTATCATGATAATCCAAAGGTATATTCGACGATACCGGAATGGTTAAGGATGTCCAGTAAGGATGATGCAAAGACTACAGGAAAAACTTCGTCGTTGTAACGAAGTCAGTTTCGAATTGCGCGAATGTATTATCGTCGCTGCCAGATACGATCGAAGGCGATTGTAAGACCGCTGTCACTGCCACGAACAGAATATTTCTTGCGAGTAGGAATATTTATAAACGTTTCTTCGAGACAAGACATAACACTGCACATGCAGATGAGAGAAAACATCTCAATAGTGAGCTCAAATTGGTGCTATTTTTAAAAAAAGTGCAATTCTTTTTTGGTATATTTAGTTTGCCGATCTGGTAAATTATGTATGCCCATTACACTTATGCGAAACAAGAAGACTTCATAAGCTTCATGCAGCTGTGAATCAGTGAAAGATATATTTCGCGAAAAAAAGATATTTGATTGAAGCGCGTTATTATAGTATAGACGAGAAGATTTATTTATATGAAATATTGCGCTGTCCACAAATATAGTGTGATAAAAACATTCGTAATAAGACATCGCGTTTCTTCAATTTTATTTTGAAGCAACGTGACGCGCACTCGCTTGAAAGATGAGTATTCTCGAGAACTATGAGAAAGAATGAGAGAGAAGTGTTGTGTTATATGTTCGATTAGATTGAAACATACATTATCGATATTCTAAAGGCCTACGAGACAGTGGAAATGGCAACATGTACGTATTTAATTTCCATGTCGCCGTATAAGCGATATATAAAGGAAAAAAGGCTGCACCCTATACTTCTGTAATTTCGTAATGGAAATAACTTTCTGCTTCCCAACTTATTGTTAGCTTCTGCTCTTTAAGATATTACGCCAGCGGCGTTTATCAGATTCGTAATTTCAATTACGAATTACGCTCATTATATTCTAGTCAACGTGTATAACATAACACTAAAACTGCAGGTATTTAATAATCGATTGTAGGAAATAAGTTCATAAGATTCAGGATTTCACATGTACTTACTAGTGATACGCCCTCAAAGGCGCATTAATGTCATGTAACGACCTCGGGGATACGAACGTAATGAATGTCTCATGTACCTTTTATATTTATAACAATAAAACAATGAAGATAAATAGAATTTCTTGAAAATGAAATTTCTTTATCTGCTGGTGAGAGAAATTCACTTATTTCTGCATAATTCATTGCTAATTATATTTTTGTAGAAATGCGTAAAAAATATTTATCAAAGGTTTCTTAAAAGTTAAATATCAATAATTAGCCGTTATAATTTTATTTACAATTTTTTGGTATTAAATAATACCACAAATTTACGACACTCTTTATGTAATATAATTTCATTAAATTTTATATATGTGAGTAGTGCAAGATTTAAAATTATTATAATATGAAATTTATATTTTTATTTATGAATTTGAAAATATTTAAAGATTAATTAAATATCGTTTAATTAAAGATTCAAACGCTTATGATAAGCAGGTACATTGTCATCGTATTCTGCCACCATAAAGTTACCAGCAATCGGGCCTTCCAAGTTATATTTTTCCGCAAACTTCTTTATGGAGAATCTCTTTCTTTGACTTCCATCCCTATAAGCACGGTAAAACGTGTTCATCATGAATCATTATCGAGCTATACGATATATGCTGCGTCGACAACACGTTCGCTCACCAAGTGCTCAGTCTTCTTTCATCGAAGGTAATAGCGCCCTGATTTTGTTTATAAATGAGAAATACATAGCGGTGTTTTCCAGTGTTTTTCGGCGGCGCAGGACCGACGTATTCCGCTAGGATTTCACCTTTAGCTATGTTCTCTTCCGGTATATTTCCCACGAGCCAGTGTCGGAACTCTCGGTTGTATCCTCCCCTCCTTGGTGCATCAGGATCTACAATAAGATACATCTGTTGTGAATATGTAAGAATTTTATAAAAAAAGAAATAATTATCGATAATTGTGAAATGATTGGAAATATACAAGTCGGAAGTATATTGACAGTTTTAATGATCTTTAAAAACGCGTATTGCAATAATTTTCAAACATTTGCATACTTTATATAAGTCTTAACTTAACAATTAACATGCCAGAGAATCCGCGCGCTATCAAGTAGTGGTGGTAGAGAAAACTGGTTTCCGAGATGTGAAAGTTGAACTCATCGAGAATAGCACATCTTTACGCGTATTTGTCTGTCTCGCGGTTTACGAAATTCTCGCAGCAAGAAAACAAAACGATCTCACTTGTTTTATTTTTTATTTTTCACTTTGGAATCTATCTAAAAATGTATATGTATCTAAATATTACAACTAATTTAGTCAAACTTTCCAGTCTCACCTGTCATGACAAGTGTATAGAGAACTCCTCCTTCATGTTTATAATGAATTTCTGGTATCTCATGAGCTTCAGTCGGCGTCAATTCAGTTCCAAAATCGACTACCTTCTTACCATATTTTACCTATGTAATACAAAATGACTTATACATAGTTACGGTACATATTCTGCTGTAAGATGTTTAGAAAAAGGTCTTCCTAATAAATATCATTTTTTTAAATGTAAATATAGGAAATACATTAACTTAATATCTTAGCTACACAATAAAAATGTTAGTGCAAATACTTTTGCAAATATATACCTCGATCTTTTCAATTGGTGCTTTGTCTATAATGTCGGGTTCAATTTTTGCCTTTTTAAATTCCGATTCTACATCGCCTAATGAAAAACTAATAGCACACAAAAGAATTCCTGAAAAAAAAAAAG